TCCTCCTCCTTCTTCTATCCTTTTCTGTGTCCTCTTCCTCCCTCGCCGCCGTCTAACTCCTAGAGAAGGATAATAAAGATCATAATGATGATGATTATGATGATGATGCTGCTGATGATGCTGCTGATCATGATGATGGCTATGCTAATGATGCTGATGCTGATGATGCTGATGATGCTGCTTATGATGATGATGCTGCTGATGATGATGATGATGGTGGTGGTGATAAGGATGATGATGGTGATGATGCTGATGACGACGATGACTATGATGATGACGACGATGATGATGCTGATGATGACGGCTATGATGATGATCTTGATGGTGATGATGTTGCTGATGCAACTGATGATGATGCTGATGCTGATGGTGATGCTGCTGAATATGCTGATGATGCTGATGGTGATGATTATGGTGATGATGAATTTGATGCTGATTATGATGGCGACGATGACTATGATGATGATGATGATGCTGATGCTGATGATGATGTTGTTGATGATGCTGATGCTGATGATGATGGTGGTGGTGATGATGATGCTGATGGTGATGATGATGCTGATGCTGATGATGATGCTGACGATCATGTTGATGCTGTTGCTGCTGATGATGATGATGGTGATGATGATGCTGATGATGCTGATGATGATGACGATAATGATGATGCTGCTGCTGCTGATGATGCTTGTGATGATGGTGATGATGCTGATGATGATGATGATGGTGGTGATGATGATGATCATGATGATGATGATGATGATGATGATGATGACGATGGTGATGGTGATGACGATGGTGATGATGATGACGATGACGACGACGATGATGATGCTGATGATGATGGTGGTGGTGGTGGTGATGATGATGATGATGTTGATGATGCCTGCTGCTGCTGCTGATGCTGCTGCTGCTGCTGCTGATGATGATGATGATGATGATGATGATGATGATGATGATGATGATGATGATGATGATGATGATGATGATGATGATGATGATCATGACGAGGAGGAGGAGGAGGAGGAGGAGGAGGAGAGAGGGAGGAGGAGAGGGAGGAGAGGAGGAGGATGAGGAGGATGAGGAGGAGGGGGACGAGGAGGAGGAGGAGGAGGAGGAGGAGGATGAGGAGGAGGAGGAGGAGGAGGAGGAGGAGGAGGAGGAGGGGGAGGCGGAGGAGGAGGGGAAGGAGGAGCCCCGCGATACCCCGCAGTCTGCTGCCCTTCCTGCTCCGTGCCGAGTGTCTACCGTGCAGCCACCCGCCCAAAGAGGGACTGAAAGAGGCGATCTTCCGAGCGGCACTCGTCCAGCCTGGCGTCAGGGGCCGCCAGGGGACCCACCCTCCAGGGGGCTAGTGCGCAGGGGCCCCTCGCGTCAGCTTCGGGCGCGACCCACCACGCCCCCTGGCCGCGGGGAGGGGCTCCCGCGGGCTGGGCGTTAGGGAGCCCACCTGCGGTGAATGTAGGTGCCCGCGCCCGGCGGCCCGGCCGGGCGGGCGTCCCGACAGTGGGCCTCCTTATGCGAGCGGAAGGAAGGAAGGAGCAAGTGGAGGAGGAGGAGGAGGAGGAGGAGGAGGAGGAGGAGGAGGAGGAGGGCGAGGAGCAGGAACAGGAGGAGAAGGAGGAGGAGGTCGAGGAGGGCCATACGCGGGATCTGACCCCCGCACTCGCTAACGCGCGCGCCGCGCGTCCGGCGGGCGGGCCCCATGCCCCCAACCGCAATCTGAGCCTTGAGAGCAGCAAGCCGAGTTCTGGTGGCCACGAGCTGAACTGCGAGAGCCCCCAGCGAAGCTAGGAGGGCCACAGGCTGAGCTTCGACGGCAACAGGCGCGGCTCCGAGAACGAAAAGCAAGGCTACGAGGACCGCCGGCGGCACATCGACAGCAACCAGCTGCGCTACGAGCGCGACAATCTGAGCTACAGTGTCCACGAGGAGACCTACTATAATTAACCATCAGCACAGCTATCAGGGCAACCTGCGAAGCAACGGGAGCCACCAACAGGGCTACGGGGGCCACCTAGGTCCACCACCAGCTGCGCTACGAGGGCAACGAGAGCAGCCGGCGGAGCTACTAGGGACACGTAGTGAGCTGGGAGAGACCCACGGCCAGAACCGCGAGGGCACTTTGCGGAGCTGCGGGGGGCAAAGAGCTGAGCGCAGGGGAGGGCCGCAGGCTGAGCCCAGCGGGCCACTGGCAGGGTTACGAGGACAGTCAGCTGAGCCACCGAGGACGCTGGATGAACCACGGATGCCACCCGCTGAGCTACTCGGGCCACCAGCGGATGTACTAGGGCCGCCAGCTTACGAGGGCAACCGGTTGAGCTACGACGGCTGCGATGGCCACCGGCTGAGCTACGAGGGCAGCCCGCTGAGCGGGGATAGCCAGCCAGACCTACTGGGGCGACCTGCGGAGGGAGACGAGGGCAAACGGATGAGCTACGAGGGCCGTCAGTTGAGCTTCAGAGTTGCTAGGGCTACAAGATGAACTACAAGGACCACGAGCAGAGCTACGAGAGCCACAACGGAGGTTCAAGGACCACAGGCAGAGATTCGAGGGCAACCTGTTGAGCTACGGGCCACAAGCCCTGCTACAAGGTCCACAAGCAGGGCTACGAGGATTTCGAATTGAGCTACGAGGGCCACCGGCTGAGCCACGAGGACCACGAGCTGAGCTACGAGGGCCACAAACCGAGCTTCGAGAGCCACCAACTGAGTTACGAGGGCCACGCTGGCGGAGCTGCCAGGGCCACTTGCAGAGCAACCAGAACCACCAGCAGTCATACGAGTGCTACGCGCAGAACTTCCTGGACAGCACGCGAAACCACGAGGGCCACTTGCAAATTTACGCAAATTGCCAGCTGAGCTGCAAGGGCAGCCAGCAGAGCGACAAAAAAGGGTCTCAAGCCGAATTTCCTGGGCAACGCTCAACGCCACCAGGGCTATCTGCAGAGCCGCTTGACAAGCCAGCGTAGCGACGAGGGCTGCGCGCAGAATTGCTAGGTCAACGCGCAACGCCACGAGGGCCACTTGCAGAGTTACCACCTCGAGGGTTCCCTGCATGGCTGCGGGGAGCAGGAGGGAAGAAGGTAACGATCGCTGCCACTGACACAGTGAAGGGCAAGGAGGGCAGGAATACCACGACTGCGTCGTATTGGATCCGCGCGAACAGATCCGACTAATTCGCTGGAGAAGCGTACTGTGTTGCAGCCCTACCCCCCGTCGAGCTCCCAGCGCTTCCCACCGTGTCGCGGAAACGAGGAGAACGTCGCCCGATATTTTACCAGCAGGAAGACGCAGCAACGAGGTATTATCGGCCAGCCTTACGCCGGAGATCGCGGCTCCTTCTGGAGAGACCGCGATATGAAAAAGCTTCGTATCACCGACCACCTTGGTCGCCGAGCTGCCCAAGGTGAGGCCGGACAGGACCGGTGAGAAAGTCGGCCACATGTGCTGAACGGTGGGAGTGGCCAGCCTGATGCCAGACGTTTGCCGCCCTTGGGGCCGCAGCTGGACCTTGAACAGTGTGTCCTCTGCTTTCTGGTGCAGACGCTGTCTGGAAGCGTGCCCTCGGGGTCCTGGCGTGGACGTGGTCGTTACGACTGCCTCCACTGTGATGCTGCGTAGCTGGGCCCCGCGACCCAGCCCAAGGCAGCTGCAAGCACGACCACGGTCATCACGTTGTTCCTTACTTCTTCCTGTTTCCTGCCCCCGCTACGTATGAGAGTTGTGGTAGATCCGATCTATCTCCTCCTCCTCGTCCTCCTCCTCCCCCTTTCCTCCTCTTTCCGTTGCGCAGATCTTTTTTACGACGGCGTACGTGGGGCCGCGCTCGCGTCGACCCGGCTGCCCGCCCTGTCGGGCGGCCGGGGACGCGACCGCGGTGGGATCGTTTTGACATAGCGGTGCAAAGTAGTCGGAGGAGGCGATGGGTGTGGATGGCTCAGGGGCGGGCGTTACATACATTCTTCGAGGCTTGGCAATAACAGCGTTTTTTTCGGGCGCTGGAACGGGGGGACTGGGGATGTGAACAGGCGCGCGGCGCAAGCCTTGAATTGGCGCGGAGATGGTGCATCTAATGTCGTGGGAACGACGGCGCTGACCAGATGTGGCGGCGCGCGGATTGAACCCGATATCATTAGTGACGCCCGCTGTCATTGGTCGCGATTTCCGTTGCGGCAAGGAAATGTGAGCGTCCTTTGCGGCGACCGCAGTGTAGCGTCAAGCGGGTTGCGCGGCGCCAAGATACCGCAGCGGATGTGATGCTGGAGGAAAGGCGATGCCCGAGTAAGCGCGGGGGCACCTCGTCCAGGCAGGCCGCGCGTGTGGCGGGGCGCTGTGCTGGTAGGGTCCCCGCGGGTGCAGCAGAAACGCATACCATGTGTTGCGTTTCCCCTGCATGTATCGGTTTTCCGCGATGGACATCATTTTTGTTTGTTGTTCGATGCCACGTTTTTATGTTTGGTTGCATGCATTCCGTCGGGGATGCATGGATTCACCTTCCGTTGCGTGCGTCCATCTTATGCTACGGGGGACGAGAGAGAGCTCCCTCGTGGCCCGGCGGCGACGCATCCTGCAGCTTCTTTTGCATTGTAGAAGAGGGAGGATGCGCGAGGCTTTGCCACCCTGGGCCAGGGTCTCCCGACGCCGCAGTCTCCTGCGCGACTCGCCGCTCGGCGCCGCAGTGCGCGCCCGTATCTCTTTGCCACGACTGGCATCCCGGCCAGGAGGGGTAGACGTCAGCCGTGGAGTCGGGTTCGGGCCGCGCGCCGATGCAGCTGGTTGGAACCGATGTTGCCGCACCGTTTCCGCAGTAATCCAAGACTTGTGCCGCGCGCCTGTTCAAGTCCTCAGTTCCCCGACCCCCGGCGCCCAAAACAACGCTGCTATTGCCGAGCCCCGCAAAGTGTTGGGCAATCCACCCTCATCGTCTCCTCTGAAGCACGAGGTTGAGGAGGAGGGGGAGGAGGAGGAGGAGGAGGAGGAGGAGGAGGAGGAGGAGGAGGAAGATGTGGAGGAGGA